TATTTAGACTTTCGTAATAACTTCTAAGACTTTATTCGATTCTCCAAGTTTGTTTATTAAAATGTCGTGTTTGGTTTCAAAATATCATACCTGGAGAAATTGCTGGTAGAGGCAGTCATTTGAAACATTGTAGCAGACTCTAGTAAACCTACGGTGAAGCTTGTCCAAACTTAAGAGCTTTATTGCCTTGAAGAAAACCCGCGTCCATTGTACAATTTTGAAGGACACCTAGCATTCTCTAAAGCTTCGCCAAATCCAAATTTCCAAAATTGAACGATTTTCTTTTCCTACAATCGACTATTGCTATATGAATTATGGCGGTGATTCCGAACTCTTTGGACTTTTGGATCAGTAATAAATTCACAACGGAATTACGAACACATATTTTACTTCAATTCAGCAGAGTCATAATAATTTCTTCGATCACTATGTTCTCACCAAACGCTTCTGTTACCTATGGTATATTACAAAAGGAATGATGTGGGACGTGAATTTGCTTATCTATAGACAACTCTTCCTCTCAATATCCTACTCAGTATTTTTGGCGAAAGTTATTCTACAATGATGCTGATGTTTAAATTGTTAAAATATTTTTATTTTGCTTATACCGATCACACGGCCTTCTAAGATATATTTTTCAGGTATAAAAGAAAAAGACATCAAAGGAATAAAATTTTTGATAATTTTGATTTTGTCAATTTTATTACAAAAACGACTTTTTTTTTGGCAAGCCATATTCTCAAAAATCAAAAATTTAAAAAATCAATTATTATTTGTATTTATCTGTTGTTATATTATTTTTGTTTGGTTTTTGGATTTAAGATAATTTTAATAATAATTTTTCTTCTTCATCGGAGGTCCTTCGAAGGGAATTTAAAACTTTTGGAAATACATCACCGATTATTAATGTAAATTATATTCTATAAATGTTCTTTAATATTATATATTTATTAAATAAAATGCCTTTTAATAAAAAATTCACGAAAAAACGGCTTTCTGACTTGCAAGTGGATATGCACTTTACTTTTTTATACAATCGTATTGGCTTTATGGGAATACCGGACGCCGACTAATGGCTCACACGGTGGTGCAAAATGAAGTTTTGGTACCAGATTACTAGGGACACAAATATGTTCCAAGCAGTTTATTGACTTTTGCTTTCATCTTTCATAAAATACAATCGACATGGTAGATTCGATTACCTCGGATGGAATCTAACTTACAAGTAGTACACATTATTTAAAAATTCTGGCAAAAGTCGGACCACAATCATCATTTCCTATAACATATAGTGTCAGTTTGAATGCCATCAGCTTATCTGACCTTTAATTAGATTACTGAAATGTTGAAGAAATTATAAAAACTTTGGACTGATATGTGAAGCTGGTAGAGGTAGAAAGAAAATGAATAGTCTTAAAGCAGAAGCCTGTAAGGCAGCTGTCAAGACGAAAGAGAATAAATATGCTCAAATCTCGTAAGAAAAACTCAAACAGATACAAAACCCTAACGGAATCATTGAAAACCACAAAATGAACTGGAAAAGGAACTGACAAGTCAGAGGGATAAACCTCAACAGCTAAGGCAAAGAAAAATGATCGAAAAGCCAGAAAGTGGGTAGTGTCTTCAAGCAAAACTAAACGGACAAAAAAATGTGAATGAAATTCGTGGAAAACAACCACAAAATCCCCGGAAGAGGATAAGTGTAATGGCGGAATCAGTAGCGGATGCCAAGGGATGTGAAAAAGATGAATATATCTTATGGAATATATATAGGTTATAAGGAAATAAAATATTTTCTCAATAACACCACTAGTACTGCTGCCTGATACCATTAATAATTTCTAAGCTCATAGTAGATGATTCCAACAATCCCAGCAAACACATAACAAAGCCTTCCTGACTGTCAATCCTGGCTTGGTCACCGTTTCCACCAGCTTCCCGCGATTCGACCACGACCCTTTTCACTTGACGTTGTTGTAGGTGACCCACTTTTCATCACGCGTAACAGTCCGTTTCAAAAATGGATCGATTTTGTTACAATATAATTCAGCAGTCACTGGCAGATGGAAATTCTGTCTCTGAGGTTTTTTTGCGTTATATAATGTTTCCATAACCTTTTCTAAACGTTCACTTGAGCTGTATAATTTATTTTCGAAATCGCATCACAAACGCAACAGATTTTCGATTTTGACTAGCATTATTCTGCTTATTGACATTGACTGCACAAGTGTTTCTTTCTTCATTGAGAAAGTTCAAGGACTTGGATGCACCCCAAATAAGTTACTGGGTAAACAGCTATCAAAATATTTACCTATTAAACATTTCAATACAGTCTGTAATTGTCTACAAATACATATTGTACATACAAATGTATGTTAGAGCGGGTCGACTTTTTTCTAAAAAATCGCGTACGCTGAAAATGTTCTACAGATCATTCTGAACATCTTTGCTTAAGAGAATATGGTTCTAAAACCAGTTTCGAGCCAGTGATTTTTTAAGTGACGGGTTTTTTCAGGAATATAAAAACTTTTTCGTCAGTTTTTGATATACCCATAGGCAGACCCATCAGCCAGATCGGACAACTATATCACATCTCCCGTACAATCGATTTTTGAGTTAATTTACTTTCCGGCTGCCTGCCTTTAATTTAAAAGCTAAGAGCTTGTAAGTTTGCAAAACGGTTCTTTAGCACATACTTAATAATGACAATGAAAGGAAACAAAATCGGACAACTTACTATATATAACATATATTTCACATACAAAAAAAGCATTAGGTTAAAGTGTATTTTCATAACAAGTTGATCCCGCATTCGAAAATTATTTTCCATTTCATCAATTATAAATTTCATTTAAGAACTCGAAGAGACAGATATAGTCCGAACTGGCCGATGCCGAAAAATTATCAAGAGAATCTCAAAATGCACCTATGTAATAAGTTTCATTCGGATATCGCAAAAACTGATGATGAAATTTTTATGATCCCGAAAAAACCCTTCACTTAAAAGATCGCTAGCTTGAAACTGGTTTTAGACCCATATTCATTTAGGCAATGATGTTCAGAATAATTCGTAGAACATTTCCTGCATACGCGATTTTTCCGTTTTTTGGTTCCCTGTAAATCAACCCGCTCTAATGTATGTACTTAAGTAATTCTATATATGACTGGATATATTTCGAAGGTATTTGATATGTAACAGCCAATGTCTAAAACGCACTCAACGATCGACTGTAATAGAGGAATATGGGAAACGTACAGCGTTCAACATTGAGTCGAAGTCTACAGATTGGTATTTTCATTTTGATTTGTTGGTCAATAGTAATACTTTGTGAGCGTAAGTTAAAGCTTGTGTAAATTTTTGTAAGCATTAATTTTAGTTTCATATCATCAGTTTACAATCACTATCTGATGTCAACGGCGCTGCCTGTATTTCATACAGATCTGTCACAATCAGATCTCATGCATAACAAGTCGGTAATTTTTGGACAAAGTTTGCCAAGCCCGATACTTGAACAGCACAATATTTCCGTGACCGAGGCCAACAGTACCATGGAAGTGAAAGGTTTACTAAACATATTAAATCGCACACAAGTTAATTAAAGGCTGACACTATTGATATATCGTCTGCGGGCTGGTAAAAATATAGAATTTGTGAGGAAAATACGACAATTCGGTGATTATCTTTTAATAAAAGTTGTTACTTTCAGCATAAGTCTTTTGTATTCCAAAGATGTTTTATTTTAGTTTCTAGATCCATAGTTTGAGTACATCACACAGTGATATTTTAATTTGCTACCATTAGGTCGTATATCTTGAAAACCATTCCCAAGCTGTTTTTAAGAGACATACTTGATTCGATCTTCATTGGTGTTTTTCATTGATCCTCAGTACGCATTTACACTGTTTGCTCCGCGGTCTCTAATATATTTTTGAGGATCCAAATTTCATTTATGGTTATAAAATGTTGACAAACCTATCCAGCAAAGGTTGATTGACAACTTGATTGTCGACAAATAATATTATGAAGCAAGTTTGAAGTAGTTGTTCGGAATAAAATGTTCCACAAATAACTTTAGGACTACTGCCGAGCTGAATCTGCTTTTGTTTCGGTTAAGTAGCTCTCTATAAGTTTTTGCTAGAGCTTTGGAACCCAAAAACCCTATACATACACTCTAATTGTCCGAGTGCATGTAGAGGGTTTTTGGGTTCCAACGTTCTAGCAAAAACTTATATGGAACTACTTAACCGAAACATAATACATTACGATAATTGCTAAGGATTAATTTTACCAGTTTCGTTTAGTTTATAGGTACTTCTGTACAGGCACTTTAAAAATCCTTTGCCATGGCATCTATTAAATGGGGAGCTCATGCTTATTGATCCCATTGGAATACCTCATAAAAAACTTTTAAAGGTGGCCATTACACTCTACTACACCGAACCCGCTGGCATTAGGTTGGACTTCAGAATGTAATGTCTAGTTACGGGTTATTGAAGACTCAGCCGAAACTTTCTGTGAACAACACTGACTGCAGAGCATTCTTGTTACATATCTAAAAGAATAAGGCCTGTAGCATAAGTGAAGTTGCCACAGTTTATTTACACAGTTTACAGCTTACGTAAATCCATAAAGAGGCGACATTCTTTCGTTCGTAATGTCTGGAAATGACTGACGTTTATTTTAAATTGTTTTCAAAATCTCTGTTATATCGCTTTCACTGTGACGCAAATATGGTGCTTATTGAATGATTGATATACTCTAGCAACATGTTGCACAAAAAAAGAAATTATAGGATCTTCTTGTCGATAAAAACCATAATAAGACGTCTTTCGTTGTAGGTGGAACACACTTTCGTCTTCTAAGTCTTCCGTTTAAAAAGTGGGCCGTCAATCATAACTTCCGTATCCTACGCTTGACTTAGGTCAAAATATAATTCCTTGTGTTTATAATTTTAAACAACTTTAAAAATATTTAATTATATTAATATCAGTAACGGAGAATTTTTGCTTAATAGTAAACCAACTATCTTATTAAGAAATATTGACTGGAACCTATGTTTCTGACTCATCATAGTCGGAACTAGTTGATATTTTTGAGGAATTATCGGCTGGAATCTGTGTTGTTAACTCATCGTAGTCGGAACCACTTGGAATTCCTAAAGAATAATCGACTGGAACCTGTGTTTCTGACCCATCATAGTCGGAACTAGTTGGTATTTCTGAGGAATTATCGACTGGAATCTGTGTTTCTGACT